CATATGAACCTTGGAGATAATTTTATTAAATGGGTAAGATCGATTTATACTTCACAGAAAGCACAAATAGTTGTTAATGTAGAATTAACAAAACCTTGTGAGATCCAAAAAGGATCCACAAGGATGTCCGCTGTCTCTACTTTTGTTCATTTTAGTTCTTGAGGTACTGAACAGAGACATAAGACAAGATGAAAGAATCATGGGAGTTAAGATTAAAAAGAAACTTATAAATTAAGGGCATTTGCAGATGATTTGGTGTTAGTTTTGCAAGATCCACTAGAGGGAGTAGAAACATTAATGGGAAAATTAAAGGACTTTGGTATGTTAGCAGGTTTTAAGATTAATAAGATGAAGATGTTAACAAAAATATGAGGGCATTTGCAGATGATTTGGTGTTAGTTTTGCAAGATCCACTAGAGGGAGTAGAAACATTAATGGGAAAATTAAAGGACTTTGGTATGTTAGCAGGTTTTAAGATTAATAAGATGAAGATGTTAACAAAAATATGAAATTAGAAGATCAAATAGAACAGATGGAAAAAACTGGTTTTAAGTTTGAGAAAAAAGTAAAATACTTGGTTATTACTATGACAAATATGAACTGTATGTTATTTCAAAATAATTATGTTAAGACATGGAATGAAATTAAGAAGGACAAATTAAGACGGGAGAAATTAAAATTGTCATTGTTGAGAAGAATCTCTGTGATAAAAATGAATGTTTTGCCTAGAATTATGTTTTTGTTTCAGACAATCCTGTTTTGACAACTGATGTACCATTCAAACAATGGCAAAAAGATATATCTAAATTTGTATGGCAAGGGGAAAAAAACACAAGTTAAATATAAAGTGTTCCAAGATACAAAGAAAAGAGGAGGATTGGGTTTACCAGATTTGAAGTTGTATTTTGCAGCTTGTTGTTTGGACTAGGTGAAAGAATGGATATTGCTGAGAAATCAGAGACTTTACAGTTAGAAGGTCACAACCTGAGGTTTGGATGGCATGGATACTAATGATGCGATAAAGTTAAAATTAATGTGGATTTTAAAAATCATTTTATTAGATATGCCATATTGAGATTATGGGATAGATATAAACCCAGGTCGTGCTCAAAAACACCTTTATGGATCTGAGCTCAAGAAGCATTTCATAGAAGCAGACAAAGACAAATGGTTGACATAACTGGGAACTATTGGAAAACCATCAAAGGAAATTTAAGATTAAATCAAGAGAACAACTAATAGCAGAAGGATATAGTTGTCAATGGTTTTCCCATTTACAGTTACCTGAAAGATTTAAAATGAACAAAAACACTTATGGAATGGAGCAAAGTAAGACAGAATTTGAAGTATAATTGTGCACTGATAATGAACATGTAATTGCTAAAATGTATACATTTATGTTGAAATTTGAAACAGGAAGAACAGGTTAAAGAATGTATGATAAAGTGGGCTAAGAATTTTGATTATAACATACAGATGGATCATTGAGAAAATATGTGGTTAAAAGGGTTGAAATTTATATTATGTTATGAACTTAAAGAGAATTTTTATAAAATGATATATTGTTGGTACATGATGCCAGAGAAATTATCTAGAATGTATGAAGACACTCCAAATATATGTTAGAAATGTGAACAACATGAAGGGACATTCTGTCATGCTTGGTGGACATGTAAAAAAGCTAAAACATTTTGGATTCAAATACATATATTGATGCAGAGGATTTTAAAGATTAATATCCAATTGAAGCCAGAACTTTTCCTTTTAGATTTAGATACACAGTTAGAAAAGAGTCATGGATATGATTACTGCAGTGAGATTATTATATGCAGAAAGATGGAAAGATTTGGCACTTCCCACTATGTAGGAATGGTTGGTGAAATTGACAGCTCTTGCTGAGATGGATAAACTGATTTCTTTGATAAGAGAAAAGACAATTTCTACATTTATTGGTGATTGGCAACCCCTTATCTACTTTTTGAGTAAAAATTTAAAAAATAAACCTGTGATTTATGGTTTTGATGATTAGATAGGATAGATTATAGAAAGAAGAGATGATGTAACTTTAGAGACAGAGTGCTTAAAGTATCATTTTACTTATTACTGCTGTGAAGAATATCGGAAGCCACTTCTTTATGCCTTTATATTTTTCTTTATATTTTGCTCTTTTTTTCTATTTTCTTTTTCTATTGTACTTTTAGCTTTTTCTGTTATTTATTTATTAACTTTTCTGTTCTAATTTAGTTTGTTGTAGTTTTTATTTGTTTTTAAAACCTTTAATAAAAGTTATATATATATAAAAAAAAGAAAATTGGACTCAGATTTAATTGACAGTCAAAATGTGTAATAATTCCTGTGCAATTTCTGATTTACACAAAGATATCTGCAACAAGGAGCCAAACATATTAAATTCTTAGCAAATTATCTATAGTCCTTGTTTAACGACCACAAAAAAGACTGTAAAATTGGTCATTAAGCAGGATGGTTGTTAAGCAAGTCACCATGTGACTGGATCCAATTTTATGACCATTGTTATGATGGTCGTTAAGCAAATCACCATGGTCGTTAAACAAATATATAGTTGTTAAGCAAATCCAGCTTCCTCAATGGACTTTTTTGCTGGAATTTGCTTAACAACCACATGATTTGCTTAATGACCATGGTGATTCGCTTAACGGCCGTCAGAAAAAAAGGTCACACATCACAATTGCGTGACCAGGGGATGTGACAGTTTGTAACAGTTATAAGTGCGAGTACAGGTCATAAATAACTTTTTCTGAGGCTGTCATAACTTTGAACCGTCCTTAAATGAATGTCGTCAAGCAAGGACTATCTGTAAGTAGAAGTATGAAACAGAATTGTTTTGCTGGATTAGTTTTAAATAGGCATTCTAACACTGAAAATATTCATATTAATTGTTAAAAAACATCTGACAAGTTTTACTCATGGATCTCAAGTCAAAGCTTTATCTTTGCACCAGGAACCTAAGCATGCCTGAGCATGGCTTGGAGAGAATTATAAATACATGAAATACTATGGCTCAATGAAAGTTGATGGCAGTTACAGTGTGGATTGCTTTTGCTCAGAAAGTTAAAAAAAATTGGCATGAGAATCCATATTTATAGAGTATAATCATCTTCTATTTCTGATAACCAAGTTTTTGTACAAACCCTACTTTTTGTCCTATAAAACCTGCTTGATGGGCATGAAAGCCAGCTGAGTGACTTTGGGCGAGTTACTTTCTCTTAGCCCCAGGGTTGCTGTTATGGGAAAAATAGGAGCCAAGAGGATTAGGTAAGTTTGCTGCCTTGAGTTGACCCAAATATATAAAAGGTGAGATAAAAATCTAATAACAATAACAACAGCTTTCTCCCCCCCCCCCCCCCCCCAATAAAGGTGTAGGAGGAGAAAAATCTACTTCAAATTGCGTTCAGTATAACTGTCTATTTTCATACAGGAACGGTTTGGGTTTTTCAGTTGCACAGAAAATTTTACTCCTATTTATGTGTTGCCAGTGAACGTAGCAAAGATGGAGCTATTTGCAAGGCCAATATTCATAGTCAAGCCCCTCCCCAATATACACTCTGAAACCACACATGTTCAAAAGAAGACTTGCATAGGACTACTGGT